TGTGGATCTATTGAAAGATACATTGATGTCTCCAGCATGCAGTTACTGAATATCCATATTATTTGATTATTTGGTAATCTGTATTACCTGGCAACATTTTCGATTGGTGTAGCTCAGTCTCATTTACGTCCTAATGCAAGGTTTTGAAATTGCAGATCAACGACCAATTATGATAAGCACAACTTAATTCAGCATCGACCAGGCTCTGTTGAATATATATTGACCTACGAAAAAGAAACCATGACGGGTCTCTAAGTGACTGTTAGGTTTTGCTTTTATGGTCAACTCCATCACGCTGTGTGAATAACAAGCCTTTGAACTAATATCTCAATTTTTGTATTTTTCACTATAGATAAATATGGAAGCTGCATCTAATTATCGACCCTCGAAAAGAGTTATGCTGTGGACCCACCCTCGTACACGCTCTACTGCTTTTGAGTTGTCAATGGCATCAGTGCCGTCGTTTAAAGTCCATCATGAGATATATACTCTCGCGGCGTGCTTTGGTCCGGAAAGGCATTTTCCTTCGCAAGCGCCAGTCCTACCAGGATATACATTCAAGGAGGTGAGGAAGATGCTTGAGGCTAATTATCCCAGTTATGATGTCGTATTTGCAAAAGATGGCCCAATCACTTTTCAAAATGATATGAGTTATCTGCCTAATGGGTTTATTCATTCCTTCTTGATAAGAGACCCCGAGAAAACAATACCGTCTTTGTTCAAATTGATCAGTCGCTTACAAGACTCCGACCACATCAAAGCCACGCTGACTTGGGGAAGCATGCAGCCACTTCTAGATTTGAGCAAGTATGTACAAGAAGAACTCCGTCAAGTTCCCATTGTTATTGATTCTGACGATCTAGTCAAAGCCCCTAGTGAAATATTGCAAGCTTATTGCCACACTACAGGCATTCCATTCCAAGAAACAATGTCGAATTGGAAACCAGGAAATATCGGACATTGGCACGAATTACTTCGAAATCCCGATATGATTCAATCTTATGAAGCGGCTATAGCAAGTTCGTCTTTCGTTGCCCCTTCTGGAAATCGACATGATGCTGTAGCAAATAATGACCTTCCTCAAGAGCTTTTGAAGTTTATTGAGACCTTGAGACCAATTTACCACCAGCTGCGAAAGTTGAAGATAACATAAGCTTTTTTTTACTAAAAGTCAAGAATCTAAAATTTTACTCGTGTTGGTTATCGCGTGATTGTAATATATAGAGGAATTAACGGAGATTATCAACCTATGGCGGTCGTTCACAATTTTGTTGATTCCCAAAATAATAATGGGCCAAGTAAAACAATCAGAAAATAGGGATCTTGAAACGAAAATCTGATAGAGGTCCATCTAACCTATCAAACTATATATAAACAATTTTGTCTCTCTGATCTGACGAACAATTGTATCAAGACTTAACAAAACAAGTAACCTGTAGAATGCTGTGTGGGTAATATTTTTATATTGATTTTTGTTGCATTTGCAGCAAATAGTTACCAAACAATGAGAAATCTATAGGATTGGATATACCTCTCAGCTGGCTTCACATGCATAGTTCAAGCCTGTCTGACCGGTGCTTACACCAGGATTTAGTTACAGCACCTAGACGGTCTGTGGTTACAGCTTCATGTTCCGAGTAATCGCAACAAATTGACATTACAATAGGAAATAAATGACTGGCACTCCCATGCAATTAATAGCAAGTAAAATTCCTGGGATTGAAACATAGACTTTGAAGACATTGGTCTAGGCAATGAATAACTTCAAGTTGGCATAAAGACGTGGCAGTTTATTTAATCAGTGCTGAACTAGAGGCTGAAATTATAATTACCTTTGTTGTAATATAATTTGTTTATTTCACTTTCTCCTGATGTTTTGGGGGTTTAGTGTATATAGAGGCGTAGGGGTTGGTGTCATATAATTTGTTCATTTCTAACTCTCATGAAGTCTCATAGAATTTCACTTAATTTATTTTCGCTGAAAAGTTTTCAAGCATTACGTGTGGATCTAATTTTCACTGTGCTGTGTCAAGTCTCAATAGAGTACGAGGGAAATGGAATTTTCATTGGAATTTATTTTAGTGGAAAAATGCTTTCAGTGAAAATGAAGTATTCCACATTATTACATATGTACTGCAGTTTATTCTTTCCTGAAAATAAAATCGGTATTTCCACACCCCATATGCAAATGAGGTCTGAGAGCAAACAAAGTAGTCCGTTCAGGAGTAGCGTTTTTCGAAACACAGCAGAAATAAACAATATTTAGAAGTACGATATTTTACCCTTGGGGTACATGAATATATTTGCTGAGTGAAATGAAATTTGATCAACAGTAATGGTACTTTTAGACAGTCACTTATTTTGACTAAAGCTAATTTGCAAATGTATCTCCAAATGACCAAATGTATTTCCTCCTATAAATTTAGTATACAACACATCAGACATAGCTCATTCTACTCTAGTGACTTCTAAAGACTGAATGTTTTTTTGCGAACTTCGTTTACGGTGCCCGGTTTTAGTTATAAACCGACGTTAACTTCATGTTAATGTCCTACCATGGCAACAGCCGAAAACATGTTGCCTATTTTTGAGCGGAGCGGATCGCCAACCAACCTACCGGCTTGTTTCCATTGCCAACCGAACTATTTTTATTTTGTAAACAAACTTTCGTCTTCGACAATTTTTTTTTAGCATATTAGGTGTACATCATATGAAATACTACGATTGAGAGAACTTGATGTATGTTGACCACCTGGAAACTGAGTTTTATAAACCCTGAATGGCTCTCGAAAGATCCCCCCCGCAGTAAAATTACCGATTGCCATGGTGGCGTAACCATCAACATCGAAGTACCAGGAGGTTTCTACTGGCGACGTTGCGGCGTTACCAACCAACGCCAAATGAGCAACATTTTAACCGGTAATCAAGATTCATTCAATCAACGGCTAGGAAGCAACATCACAAGCGAGGTTGTAGCGTGCAGCTCAGCAACGACTGCTGTCGACGAAAGTCATCCCGTCAGTGGAGTACCGCAGTTGCACGGCATGCTTGCCAATGCACAATTCTGTTGAGGAACTTTTAACTTCAACATAAATGACCACGGTTATTAGAAAAGAACCGTGGTATGACTGACTTCGAAACGTTGCACCGAGATCGCTCGACGCCCTATTGTTCCAGTCCTTCACCATTGTATTCAAACGAATCATGTGGTGCGCTGTTGCATTCTCCTTCAAACCATTAGGGGCGTTTCAGTAAAAAAACACAGCGCAAATCATGCAAATTCAACATTTTCAAACCAGTATACTAAAACAGAAATGTTCAGCGATGCAAAAGAAGGATAGATATTACTTTTCAGTATACGCATCTCTGTTGATACAATGCTTCACATATTCTATTCCCAATTATTCCTGCGTAAAATGGAAAAGCCTCTTTCCATGTTGACATTCTGAGTAAAATCACGTGATATGCTGTTAAAATTGGCTGTTACATACTCTTTCACCGGTCTGGAAAATGTGTTTAATTAGCTCTCATCCAAGCGACAATGCATATTTCCCAGTGGGAGTGAAACTAGTTAGAATAGAATAGTTAGAATACCACAGACTGACAGAAATATCAGACGAAACATGAAAACACTATATATTGTATTTCGGCCTGAACCCTCTCTATTGCAATTCACCCACCCACCTCTGAAAACAAATTCTGAATACCACGCTGAAGCGATTGATAACAAATGATATACGTACGTAACTGCACGATAAGTCACCGAGTGTCAAATGTCGTCCAGTCCACGGAATGGTCTAGCACCGAAGCTACGAATCATGCTTGTCGTACGCAGGCTATGGACTCACATTTGTACAGTCATACTGTATTAAAAACGCACTTACAGAGATGGCCATTCAATAAGTGATATGACTCAATACAGTTTCTGGTTCAGTCAGTGCTGGCATCGTTCTTTTTAGTAGCTGTCACGGTTCTTTCTTTCTCCGTAGATTTTGGAAGACAAACAGAACATTATTTGATGTGAAATATGTAGTGATTTATTCATAAATAAAATGCACACATGTTTACATGTGTATGAAAATAATGAGTTTAACTCCCGAACTGTTCAGACAACCATAAATATAGCCATAAAGTGGCACACCGCGTTTCAATTACGGCGGTCTTTGCCGGTCCGAGTGACGGATTTCCATGCGTCATATAACATGTATAGCTATGTTAGATACACATAGAATTATCCACTCGTTGCTGGAAATCTCCATAACAAATACAAGCGAGCTATGATTGAAGTCTTTCAGAAACAGTTCTGTTTGCATCTGAGCGGCTCGAGTTGGTCGTTTCGTTGTGTTGCCACAGAACACGTCACCATCGTTGCGCTGTCTTGAGCACAATATAGGTGACGCCCTAAATAAATAGTGCTAACCGATTTTGACTAAAATATCCTTCCGCCAACGCTTTACACTGGTCTTTATACGCGTGGAACGTAAAACCATTAGCCCGGTTCTACTTTTTGCGCTATCCTGAATATATTTTAAAACATAACAGTATTATCCGCAACAAATCTCATACAACCACGGTATACAACTGGAAGTTTAATTCAATTAAAACAATGCGAGGAAGGATTTAAATGATGACAGTTGGCCGCGGAAAAACCGAATTCATTGAAGGAAGTAATGAAATATATTCATTAGAAAACTAACCCATACAGTTTTTAACATGGTCTGTTTCTATGTAAAAACGTAAACAGAAAGTTTTTCCCTCCGTTTGAATGTGTCACGTGTTTAATGGCCCCCAAGTATCGTTATATCGTACAGCGTAATTCTTAATAAGAATTTGCATTTCCGTTTTTGCTGTTGTCAGACATATATTTACTTCAAAATTGTTTTCAATACATTGTTATATAAAGCAACTGTTACACTGCGATTGAGTTAAAGATTGCCTATGATATTGTAGCTTGCTTGTCTTTTTATTCTATCCTGACTTGTGACGCAGCACGACTACATCGTGGAATACAAAAGTGCAAAACCCTATGGTTTTCAAATTGCGCCATCAGTGTTGGATTCACTCTCAACCAAACTTGAATCCTGAAAATAAATACGAAATTAAATAATTGCTCTCATTTTAAGCTCTCTTTTTTATTTGCATGTTAAACATTCATTTCTCATGCTCATCATAATGACGTCATTTTAAAAATGAACCTGTCTTACAATATTTAGATCAAAACGTATCACTGTGTTTGGATTTCATGAAGTTATAATTTCACAATCACACGCATGAAATTATTAGGAATATAATAGTTGTTTATATTCAGGATCCTCAATAATTGTGATGAAAGAAATAAAATTATATATAAAATTATAATACTTAAATAATAACACCACATGCTATAATATATGATTTTAAATTATTAATATATCAACACAAATAGGAGTGACACATGATCTAACAGTTTATTCAAACTTATTCACTCAGCATCAGTCAGTAGCGAATTTTGTCCGGCAGAAAACCTTGCAACATATCAAGTTGACTACATAATACACTCGAGAGAAACCAATATCAAAGATGGTGGCAACAGCGCACAAGCACAACTGACCCTAAATCGCACATGAACAGTAACAATGATTTATTTACAGTAATGTGGAAATATTAACCATTTGTGGTTTTAGATAAAATATGTTACATATTAATTATAAAACACACAAGGTGTTTTTAAAGGTGGTGACAAAAATGTGTATAATTTAAAAACACTTGATTTACAGTGTGTGAATATACAACAGATGTGTCAATGAACCTTAATATATACTTTATGTCAAGTTCAAATTTAGACATGTTCTTTAATATATATATATATATATATATATATATATATATATATATATATATATATATATATATATATATATATATATATATATGACATGTGTAACTGAAAGTAACAGACTCTGCAGTGATTGGTTGGCAAGGAAACGGTCGTTCACACCCCAAAATAAAATAATGACGCTTTAAAAAAATGTTTTAGTTTTCTTGTAAATACATCAATATATCAGAGTAGGTCACGTGCTATTGTTAATCATTAGTCCGGGGCCTTTGTTATCAGCTATTTACATTATGGTTGACACAAATGATGTAAACTGAGGTCAAAGATCATGTAGTCGTCTTATTCACCTTGTACACACAGATGAAGTATGTTAGTGTGGAAGACGGGGGCTGTTATGGTTGGCTTGTAGTTTTAGCTAGCCATATTATTCTGATGTTGATGGCAGGGTGTCAGTGTAGTATGGGAGTATTCCTAGTACTGTTTATGGATTATTTTGGAGAAGGTGTTGGAAAGACTGTTATTGCACAGTCTGTGCAAGCTGGGTTAATGTTGTTTACAGGTAGGAGGCTTTGAAGTCATTTATCACACATTCAAAATTACCAGGCGTCAATAGACGATTGGGTATATTGGTCGATCTTTTAATAGCACGTACAACATGTGGATCCCTCTCATGCGTGAACAAAATTGGGTCTAGAAATATACAACCATATTGGATTGTTTTTTTTCCTTACTAGAGTGCAACCCGAACTACCGGTAATACTATTGTATTCGTTCATCAAAAATGATAATCAGTTTGGTTTTGACAAAACAACTTTCAACAACAATTTTAATTTTTTTGAATTATTATTACAAAAATATGTCTACAGTAATATTATAAGGTCAATAAATTACCATGACTATTTTATTGACATATATAACATGGTGAGTTACACACTACAGAAACTAGGTGTTGGTGGTAAATGCTATAATGGGTCGTATATCACTCTACAGCAATACAAATTACAGTATTGAACAAGAAAGTGTTACCTCACACTACAATCCCGATTTGGGTATAAAGCAGGATTGTAATCTAAGGCAGTGGTTATTTAGCACCTTTATGAATGATATTTGTGAGCAATAATGATAATTAAGATAACTAAGAATAATTACATTTTTATGCATATAATATATTACTTCTTCAAAGGAATGGAATGTGTTGCAATAACAAATCACTGACATAGAAAAATAATTTGATGATTCTAAAGGTCAATATTAATAAATCGAAAGACAGTTTTCAACAAAAAGGACAAGGTTAAATTCAACTGTCTGGGCAATATTTTTTAATCAAATGGCAAATTTAACTTTATTAAAGTAATAATCAAAACCATTTTATTATGGTGGGGGAGAATTCAATCCAATTCTTTGTAAATACGTATTCGGAGGTCATAAGTACAATGCAAATATAAATTACCAACACTTATACAAAGTTCCTCGTCTCGCTACTGTAAACAGGCGTATCATTTATTGTTGCTGTTGTTTACTGATGTTTTAGCACAATATAATGCAATATTTATTAAGTCTCTGTTTCCGCAGGTCCGCTGATTAGCATTTTAAATAATAAATATGGAACCAGACCATTAGTTGTTATTGGTGGAGTATTATCCAGTACTGGTATATTCTTAAGTGCATTTGTAAGCAGTGTGAATGCACTAGTTATAACTTATGGAGTTATAGTTGGTATGAAATTACTATATATTTCAAATAATTGACTTATATTAATTAACTAATTAAGGTATATATAATAGTTTCACAACATACATCTAATGTATGTCAATTATGATAACTGATAAGAATATAGGTACATATTTTAGATATATACATTGCAGTTTAATATACGATGACCTTGTTCGACACAATTCGTTAATTTGTCACCTTTAAAACACGTGAATTATTGATGAAGGTTTTTTTTTCCGAACAGGATTGGCTTATGGTTTGGTTTTTGGACCGGGTATAGTGATTGTGGGAAGATATTTCCACAAACGACATGCATTCGCCAATGGAATTGTCTATGCTGGTTATGGTGTAGGTATAATGATATTTCCACCACTTTGTCAAAAATTAATCGACACATATGGATGGAGAGGATCATTGATCGTCATGGCAGGAATTAATATGCATATTGTTGCATGTGCAATGATATTGAAAAAACCAACATATAATAGATGCGATGAACAGAATACCACAAGAGATATTGAACCATGGCCAGCCACCGAAAATGAAGGTGTGCAACCAGCGTTAGTCAATAAATTACATGTGGATGACACTAATGCGCTATATGGTCCTGCCACACAACAAAACGGTGACCACGATATTACTGGTTGCAACGACAATGACACCTCAGATGACATTAAGTTAATGAATATTACTTACACACAACGTGTGAAAATGTTAATGCACAGAATGGCTTCCGATCTTTCGTTATACTTATTCTGGAAATCCTGGTTTCGAACCATGTGTCTTGTTGTACTACTTGTTGCAGTCAGTCAACTTATTATAATGGTTCATTTAGTTAACAGAGCAGTATCTGATGGAATAGCAGCAATCGATTCTGCGTTTCTATTGACAATTATCGGGATATGTGAATTAATAGGAAGAGCAACCCACGGCTTGTTAATTGATTTGACTAGATTTTCTCCAATGTTTATTGCTGCCTGTTCGTGTGTTGTATGTGGAATATCGATAATTCTTCTTCTTTTTGCAAATAGCAACTATGTAGTATATGCTATCATAGCAGCAGTATACGGCCTATTTGACGGTGTTTTTGTGCCGCTAGTGGGAGCTGTGTCTATAAAGGCATGTATTGGGAGAGAACACGTGTCAAGTGCATTTGGTTGGTTTTTATTTCATGTTGGTATTGGGTATACAATTGGACCGCCTATTGCGGGTGAGTATTGCAATTATAAGAAAACTACGGATTGTCAATATCCAATCGTCAAATAAATTTAGAACATAACATGATCAATAATAAATCTTGTCTTCAGTCAGAAAGCTTCACCAGATAGCCGTATGAATCAAAATCAAAGTCAGATTTTTGTATTTTCTAATTTAGTGATTGCATTCTATTGTCGTCGTCTTTGGGGTTAGAAAATGTTTACTCGTTGTTTCGTACTCGTTGTTTCAAGTCTGAGGATGTAATTTATCAAGAGAAATTAATTCTTGTAATAGTTAATTTGTTGTAATTGGATTAAGTATTTCATTCTGACCAATCAACAATATATCACACTATTGTATTACTATGTATATATATATCAGTCCTTTCTCTCGAAATAGATCTTTCCTATTGTAATTTAGGCCATATAGATTTGAAATCAGTTTTTGACGTAAATTACGCTATTACGAAAATCATGGTCACATATTGGCCTGATCAAATGATCTGTTGTTGTACGGTCAAAATGGTTCCACGGCGTTGAACTTTTCTACTGACCTATGGTTAATTAAAATGACATGTATTTAAGTCTCAATGGAAAGAATGTTAGAAATCTGATAGCTTTTTGACTGTTGACTGCTTTGAACGGATTTCTTCATGTCTACCAGCACTGATATGTATATATATATATATATACACACTGAAAGCATTGAGATTGCTTTGTATTGCATGTTCCATTTCAGGTTGGATATACGACTATTCATTGGACTATGACATGTCTTTTGTCTTCGCTGGATGCATAATGATTTTAGCAGCTTTAATCATATTTGTACAAATTATCTACAAAGAGTACCAATCGAAACGCAGTGACAAGAACTGTAAGAACAAATTTATTTCCAATCGAGATGTACAGAAATACGATTACCGTGACGTCTATTGTGAGACATCTGTGTGAAAAAAAAGTATCCTCTGAGTGGAAAGTATTCTCATAATGTTGTTTTTTTAATGGTAAAATAAAATTATTATTGCGAAAATGTATAATTTCATTGGTACTGTTTGACAATGGTATACATATCAACATTTACACCAATATCTGGGAACTATTTTGTACAACCTTAACTGAGAACCTAATGAGTTGATTGAAATCTTGCATGTTTCCAAATAACAAAATTGCATTGAATCAATAAAACAAATATTTACCTTTATACGTCTGCCAAAAGTTCATTTGGTTATTATCATGTTATGGTGGAATATATGCATGATAATATCATATTTGATGAGACTGGATGAAGAGGGTGGACCTTGTAATGTACTACATGCCATGATCGCAATCGATGTACATCGAGTGATCACACTCACGCACGCACACATGCACGTTTTGGGTACCATTGTTCGCATACCATCCAGCCAATTTAGTATTCGAATGACGCACAATATCAATTTTTGTTAGCTGGGCCTAACCGGACGAGGTTTGAAAATCTGAGCATCGACCTTCTTCAATCTAAATGTTGGTGTCACAAATGGGTTCAAACCAAGGTTGTCTCAAATGTTTGTATATTCATCAAAACCCCAAAATTCCTACGGAAGATATACTAATACTTGTTTGGTGAACAAATAAGTCAGGTAGAGTCACTGTTGTAAAGACCACACTATAGTAATCATCAACCTCTATAAATAACATTCGTCCCGTTATTCCGACCTACATATAAATATCAACGAAATGCTTCTTGCCGCTTTCAAAAATACATCGAAAATAGCATTATAGTAGTGGAGTAGTATTACATCATTTTTTGAGTAAATATATTATATGCATTACACGTGCATCTTCCCAAGTACTGACATTATATGTAAGAGCGACCACATGAGATCTTAACCCTACTGTGCGTTGACGCGGTCTGTATATAATATGCAAGTGTCTGATAATTCGTTTTACATAAATATCCAATGATGTCCAATGAGTCTGAACAGCTCCGGTAATGTCCGGGAAATTAATTAACCAGTATCTCAGTAAGTAGAGGTGTCAGCATACAATCATTGTAAGTATGCCAGCTAAGGCGAGAATGATACAGAATACAGAAAATACAGAAAAGCGCGTATTCGTCAATCAAAGCATATTTACAATATACCGCATTAAACATGTTACAATAAATAGTTATTGGTTCATAAATCACACTCTGATTTGTAACAGCAATTACTTGTCAATAAAATTACTATTAACTGCAAATAAATAAACTAATATAATATATATATATCTATATCATATGTATCCAACAAACGTACGTATCACGCATATTTGTAAGTTTTCTAAATATAATGTTTTAGAATTGAGGTAGATGCAATAGTCATCCACGCAATTATTGGTGATAGAGCTATGACCCGGTCATATGATAACATGCCAGTCAAGTTATCACTGCTTCGGTTATATTAAAACTCTTTTATTACCAAATGAAGTATGGCTGACTCGAATCCGTGTCGAAACTGTAGGTTAATTAGTTGTGGGAAATAAGATAGTTGTACTGGACGCTGTGTATGATTCACAAACAGTAAACTAAGTTGTAACTTATCGAAAAATATTACTTTGGTGTTCGCACACAGTAAATTTGAGTCAAACGACTGGAGTAGACACAAAAATACATAACATAATTATGAAAATGACAAATAAAATGTAAATGACAAATAAAATACATAGTACGGTAGTATTTTAAATAGTGTTTAAATTGTATTCGGGCTTAGAATGTCAACACATGTTTTGACAATCATGTATATTATACCAGTCGTTCATTCGTAAAATATGCACACATAGCAGTAACAATTCATAATTCTTAATATCATATTTAAATTAAACTTGGTGCATAGGTGATCTGAAATACATCACAGGCTGTAAACAACAGATGTACAATCATTTTTTTCATTTGCTTTGATGAGAGTTTTGTGTTTTATAAACTTTAGTTCTGTGGATCAGATTGTTTTCACATTGTGCATCTCAAAAGTCAGTGTATATTACTCGTTTTATTAATTATAATTTACTCGTTTATATTCATATTTATTTTATATACATTCTATTTTGTTTTATATGCCTCTGATATCCTCAGCATGCTGGAGTTCTTTCAAAACTTTCTTTCATATTGTTAGTTTGCATTTTGTTATTGTAGTAATCATTTGTAATTGTTGCAACCTTGATCAAACAACAAATGATCAAACAATGATATTTTGTGGCCATTTCCATTTGAGGAACCTGATATTGAAAAGTAGCTAATATATCACGTAATCAAGGCATCCATGGGAGTGGGAAATAACCACGAGATGGATACATATGATTGTATATCTGTGCTTTTGATGAATGTCAACACTAAAATGACCGTCATTCGGCCATCTTGAATCTGATCATCAAACGAACACATGTGCATCATAATGTATATATAATTGGATCACGAAACGAATAGACGTGCATATGTTTACCAATATATGTTATGTATGTGGGTAGTTTGAATGTGATCATACCAGGCATGTTTTAAATACAGGCGGGAACGCACGGATGAACATACGCATATACGCATAAATAAATCCATAAATGCCCGTTTTCACACTTCGTCTGAACCAATGAGCAATTAAAATGTATGTGTAACTGAACATAATCAACACCAAATACTAATAAACATTGAAATAATTATGATAATAAATATACCCGAAATATAATGCCCTTATGTAAATATATCAATCGCGTCTTCTCCAATCCATGATTCTAAATCATGCAAGGGATAGGTCTTCTTTAAAGTTAACTGTTGCAATTCTCATATGACTGTGCGTTTTAATGACATGCACACAACCACTTATCGACTGCAAATGATTATTTGTATGTCGCAGTACGTATGTCACTGCTGGGGATGGTCCTCCTCCATTAGTATTCATCCACACAGCTCCATTCTGAATAGTGTGTAAAATGTCCAAAATCATATTATGAATTCACAGTTCCTCTAAATCGCGATCTAGAGTGACAAAGCGTGTCTATGACGTAAAACCATTTAAAGCATTAAGATTTAGATCTGCTGTCGCTGCCAATGAAAATTGTGATTTTTACTGAATTCCATGTGACAAACTACTACACAACAAAACACTGCTGATTTCAGTAACATTGCGTCAACCCCTCTACGTCGCTTTGGCATAACAGACGCACTTCGGCACTAGAGTTCGCGATTTATAGAAACGGGGTATTTGTAAACATACAAATCGAATAAATAAAATTGTAGCTGTTTGGCATGTTTTCCTATTTACATATACATTCTTATGATACATTTTAGTCACAAAACTGTAGTCTTACCTTCATAGGTTCTCCATCGACTAGTTTCCATCCGGCATGATTTAGGTCACATAGTTCTATTGAATAATCTCCATCTGTCTTACTCAGTACAACTTTACATTCATCTCTGGATTTATAGCTTCCGATGCTGGTCTCCTTCAATGTCACCATCTGATTACATAATGAGAAAATTACATTTTATTTTTTTTACTACTCAGATCTACAGGTCCTTTCAGAGTACATATATCGAAGCCCCAGCTGTTTTATGGGTTGACATGAGAAATGCGGCACCACTAGATGGGCAGCACATATGACCAACATCATCCTAATATGGAGAGTAATTATTTCAAGTCAAATATCACATGATTGGCGGTGCGAGCAGTATGCAATTAATTATTCGCACTGCTGATTAGGAAGTCGAGATAATCAAACCAACAACCTCAGACCTTGACCAGATATTCGACTTTTGGATAATGCATAAAAAGCTACACTAAAAATCACATGACACTTTGAAACGCCACACAGGACTGCATCACTCCACTAAATACTACCTGCACTGCACAACACAACATGACGCAGCACCATATCACACTTGACTAGATTAGTGTATTAGTGAACAAATATTTATTCGTTATTACGCTAACTAGACTGCACTGAACTAGACTATCACCACATTCATGATCAGTAAATCACAATACAAAATCATAATTACCTCATTGTCTGCTGGCGTGTCTCTGGATAATCTTGCCCTGATCTTCATAAACTTTTGATTGACTCTAGTTATAAATATATTAATAACATACATGCAGGAATCCACACTGCTAACCACACTGTACATCGCTAACTGGTTGATGAATGCTATACAATCGGTGCCTTGAGAGATACACAGTGTCTCTTTTCCTTCACTTGAATCGTGCCAGGCCTTGATTGGTTCATTTCACTCAAGCTCCTCCACAGCTTCAACGGAGCATTGTGTTCACTGTCAAGGCAATTTTTGAAGGAGAGCAGCACATGTTTCTGGAAACGAAACCCAGTTGGTCCACAGCGAACTATGGGTGTTAGTGCTGTCTCTCCAGGGCGCATTCTTGGATACTCACTATCAATGTCAGAAATATATATGTAAAATTGTTGTGTTCCATCATCTTGAGAAAGAGCATCAGGAGGAATAAATAGATTAACGCCTG